AGTGTGTCTCCGGCATTCTGAAAAAATACTGAAATGCTATACGTTAGAGTGTGAAATAGCGCAAAAGCCTTCATATATTCCCAACACGACCCTGGCATGTTTGACATATGATCGTCTGAGTCTAACAGGAAAACGCCGTTGTTGACTTCATGTGACAGCTTTCCTGAACTATTGTCGTCTGCTTCCAGCCGTGTTTTTATAGCGATTTGATAAGTCCACTGGTGGTATGAGGCACAGAACGTACCGCAGGTTGGAAGATACATGTACCGGGAGTAACACAGTGTTCTGGAGATCTACCTAGTACTGAGAAGGAGAATAGAAGTCCTGTTACTGCTGACGTTTTGCTCTGAAACCTTTCGGAAGGAAGATGGTCAGTTTCTAAGTTTTAGAGGGCCTATATCCTTACATATAGGGCCTATATCCTTACATATAGGGCCTATATCCTTACATATAGGGCCTATATCCTTACATTGGCATTTGAATATTTGGACTCGTACTCCTGTGATATTTAACACAATGTTTAGAACCTTTGACTTTATCGCGAAGTGCCCTGAATTGTGGGTCAGTACGTAGTATTCTTGGAATGAAAACAACTCAACTCTCCAACAGCATGACTTTATGAGGCATAATTAGTTTGGAGTCCTCAAATAATGCAAGAAATGTGCAGGTACGTCCCGAATATCTGACTCACCAGGGAATCAGTCCCACCAGAAGGTCAGCTATGTTTTGTTTACTTAACATTAGAATTTCTATTGTTAGAAATTCTATGTAGTTGACGTTTTATATGTAAGGAATCATCATCTTGTTCGTGAACAGAAATTTACATCCAATTTTGTGCACGTTCTTCTAACTTTAAAGGTTTAGAGTCCAGAATGAGAGACATAGTAGTCTACAAGTAAGGATGACCTCTACTCAAGGTCAGTCACTGTTCACTAGTAAGATTGTCTAGGCGTTTTTAAACGTTGTCAACTCATTCAGAAAAGAATGACCTACACCACTGTTACTTTAATGGAAGTTCGTACTGTAAACGTTAGCACGTCCTCGGGTCGTGTCTATATAGCAAATTGTTTATGTGTTTCAAGATCCCCCTAACAGCTGCAGGTGTGTTGGTACTCAAACGTCTTTTTGTTATACTGGTAGGCATGTCGACACGATACTGAAAACGAAATGTTTGTGTTCATAATCTATAACATGTCCACTGTTACATAAGGCACATGTTGAATCAACTATTTGCCAGTTGATAACCAATTTGTGTAGATTGTTACCACAGGATGTCCGGTGTAACAATTTGCTCTGCTAACGTAGTGTCTTTACATGTATGTGCTTAATAAACACTTTTTTCAATGTAAAAGTTATAGTTGGAAATTGAGATATGTGTTCCTTGACATGTGTCTGTATTATTATGCCATAGAAGAACTTGTAGAAATTCCTGGTTTTGATTTGTTTTCTCGTCTTACCATCAAAATGTGTGGGGCAACGGTACTAAGGTATAATGTTTGACAAGTGATTGGGCTTATATGATTCCTAACAAGTTTCTTATATGTAAGAGGTATAGCATGAAAGAGTGTTATATATATATTCAATGATACCATTTGGTCTTGTGTTAAGTGTGAGTTGGGTGTAGTGTTTTAGGGACAAGAACTTGCCAAAGTGGAAATGGTCTTTTATAAATATTTTGCCTTCTTTAATTTAAGTTGAAAAGAAGACAGTGTTACCTTGCGACCTTACATAGTTGTTGCAAAAAAAATGTTCCTGCATTATTTCATAAACACTAGAGGGATTGTTTTCCTCACCTCCACTAGCAGAGTGGAAGGATATTATTACCTGACTGAAAAGTCGTTTACACATGTCTGGTCCATCCTTTTCACATGAGGGATTCCTATAAAGTAACAGATTTTCAGGACCAAAGCTTTTATCTATGTCAGAGCAATTGTTTTCCATTTGTCATTGTAATTTGTGCTCATCATTGTGCCCAAAATGCTAGTAGGGATTGTTTCTGATATTCTAGATTTGTCAGGCCTAGACGACCAAATTCAATAGGTTGAATAGTAACATTTCATTTAATGTTTTCCCTTTTCGTTTCCACGAAATGTAAACATTTGTTTCTTTAGTCTCTCTAACCCAAGATGCGGTAACAATCATTGACAGGTTGTAGGCCAAAGGTCACTATTTCCCACAGGCGCAGTAGGTTCATACTAAGTCCAGTTTGATGAGCGCATCCAAACAAACTGAAAACATCCGTTTTTGTATGTGTGGCATTTTGTGGCAAATGCTGACATTTTCCAACTGGAAAGTTTTTGCTCTTTCTGTTTTGTTAAAAAAAACGGCATTTGGTGTTGTTTTGACTGCTTGGTAGAGCTCTAAAACTATTCCCGTCTTCTTGTGTTTTGGTGGTCTTCAAAGGGGTCAGAGGTCATTATCTCAATGTTTACATTTTTCGTACTCTATTTCGCTAGGTCAAAAAGTGTAACTTTTTAAACTAAATGGACAATTTGGAGGTTGGATTACCCTGTCAATGTGGCTGTTCACAGTAACCTACTCAGGTAGGTGGTTTTGACAGCTTATTTCTGCCTACGGTATGTTTACAATGGAAGATGTTTTAGAACCTCTGGCTTCATCGCGTAGTGCACTGGATCGTAGGTCAGTGCTTGTCATATTTTTCTTATAGGAAAAATATCTTTCCAACAACATGACTTTACGGGGCATGGTTAGTTTGGATCAATCAAATAATGTAAGAAATGTGCAGGTACGTCCGGCAGATCTGACTCACCAGGGAATCAGTCCCACCAGAAGGTCAGCTTTGTTTTGTTTACTTAACATTAGAATTTCTGTTGTTAGAAATTCTATGTTGGTGACGTTTTATATCGTGTAAGGGCTTGTCATCTTATTTGTGAACATAGATTTATAGCCAATTTCGTCAACATTCTTCTAACTTTAAATCTTTAGAGTCCAGAATGAGAGACATAGTAGTCTACAAGTAAGGATGTCCTCTATTCAAGGTCAGGGGCTGTTCACCAATAAGTTATACAGGTGGGATTTCATATGAACACTGAGTCAACTGATCGGTTTTGTGTTTATTGATGTTATACAAACGTAGCATCGATCTTTGAAAGGTGTCATAACTTTTAACAGTCGTGTTACTTGCA